GACGAGAAGCGTTTCAAAGGTTCAATATTTTATGACTCAACCTCCAGATACAATAATGCAATGAAAGAACTTTGACGCTTGAAATATACATAGTCTTAAAAACGTTTAGCTACAGGTTTTACTCTTTTCAAAAAAGCCGAATCATGTGCAGCAAGTTATGCACTGTCTGAACAACATCAATCAAACAGGTAGCAAACGTCATGTATCTCAAACGTTCTTTGCAGGTATAAAAACAACAACACAAGCGCAAAGATTCTCGCTGGACACAACACCCATGGGAGTTCAAAACAGAAAGAAGAGAGGAGTTTGATAAATCGATCTTCTGAAATGAGATTCTAAGTTTCCAGGAGAGATGAGAAGAAAGATTATTGAACATAACATAGCACTTTTGAAAATTGTGGGTTAATGCCATATAAACAGGGAAAAAACGTACGATATGTGAAGAGCTAACCTTGATGCTTCTCCCATCCAGGCGGCAGCGGTCTATGTTCTTCTTCGATCACCGGTGGTGGAGGTGGCGGAGCTGGTGGAGGTGCAGGTGGAGTCACTCGCAATGGTTTGCTATACTGATTTTCAAATGCTACTCCAGAATCATGAGATTCAGGAGAAAGTACTGTTTCCACTACCTAAAAATCGCAGATGAGACATAAACTGGCAATGACAATATCTGAAAAGGGTTTCAGTCAAAGACCGTTGAGTCATCAAGTTTGAGTAGAAGCAGATCATCTGTGACCAACAAGAAAATAATAGGTTTTTCAAACAGAGATGTGCCCAATTCCCTTTATCTTCACATCTGTTTAAGACCTTACTTAGTGACTCACTTCAAAGTAGTTCGTACTTATATTTACACTCATAAACGGACTTTGTACCTTTGGCAGATACGGTATGACTGATATTGAGTGCGTGTGATTTTGGCGCTGCCATTTAATCCCGCCGCGACTTTGGTACAAAACATAACAGTTACAAATGGTTATCATGATTAGATTCAGCATATTCATAAAATTCATCAATTAGGTTCCCAGCGTGACTAATTACTTTGGAGCAAGCCGTGATATATTGTGCTAACGCTAAAGTCACTCTAGAATTTCTTCGTAACTGCAAAAGTTACAAGATCTATTCATGAATGGAAATGTGAGTTCAAACTTGTCCTTCTAAATGAACTTTTACGGCATAGGAAATATTCAGATTTGGAGTTAATAGAAAACAAAAGAGGGCCATTTTTGCGATCCCTAGTGTATGAACAGATTAATGTGTAAAAGAATAAATCTCCTAGAGACCAGTCCTATGTATTGTATAAAAAGAAGTCGTCTTACGCAAAAAATGATAAAGTTCTATTCTGGAGCGCATTCAATCGATTACATCGAGTTTCATAACAAAGCATATTAGTCATCTATATGAGAAGAGAATCTCTCGTTATTTTGATATTCGACCAAATAAAATTCGAATCGTAGAAGCAGAAAATTCAAAAAGAATAATTTCATAAAGTGCAACACATGCTTACAATAAAAAAGTATTTAAGCTTTGACTTACTTCCTCTTCGTCAATCACATAATCTGTAGGAGGTGGGTGACGTTTTGGAGATTCGGAACGTCGCCGCTGCTGAAAAGAATTGAGATAAAGAAACATGAAATGAGGGTGTGAGGCATTCCAGGGCTTTACCTGATCCAACTGCCAGTAGAATGAATATGGATCTCGATGTTCTGTCATAATTGTGGTATCACCTTGTTGACGTACGCGAACGCCTGAAGCAAAAGTTCTCGGCTTCAAAGAGTTACATAATCGAAGTGAAACAGGATAAGAAAGATTAGTAACGACTGTTTAGGGTGCTATTATGGCAGAATATGAAGCCGTTAAGGGAAACAGAAAGTTAGGAAGTCCAGGCTGATGCATAGCAGCCAAACTCGCAAATCTTCTCATGAAAGAATTCAAATTTTTAAAATCCATAGATAGAAAACTAAGACAAGTTCGAAAAATGAGTACAT